TGGGGGTGCAGATGGGGGGACAGCCCAGGGCTGGGGCAGGAGGGGGTGCAGGTGGGGGACAGCCCAGGGCTGGGGCGGGAGGGGGTGCAGGGGGGGACAGCCCAGGGCTGCGGGTGCAGGTCAGCCTTGGCAGTGGTTTCCCCCTGCTGGACACCAAGCAGCCGGAGCCCCGGAGCCAGGCAGCCGCTGGCAGGAAGGGCGGGAGGTGTTGGGAAGCCCCGTGCAGGGGCTGCAGGAGGTGGCATTCCCACGCCCTGGAGGGGCAGTGAGTGACTCAGTTTGGCTGCCACTAGCCGGGGTTCTCTGCCATGCCGCCAGTGCCCTCCCGCGCCAGGTTCCCAGGGGCAGCCGGCTGTTCGCTGTGCGGGGCCTGGCAGTGCGGGCTGGGGCCCCAGGGGCACCGCACTCCACCGGGGCAGTTCGGCAGCAGCCGTAGCGCTTGCCAATGGGGTCAGGAGCAGCCCCCCTGTGGGTGATGGGAACAGGCCCTGGCCTGAGGGGTCGGCTGCCCATCCCCACAGCCTCCTCCTCAGACCCGATGCAGGCTCTGTCAGCTGCAGCCACACAAGGCCTCTGGGGCCAGCTGGGCACAGGGCCCTGATCAACTCAGCGCTCCCTGCCCGCTGTGCGGGGCCTGGCAGTCCAGAGCCCTGGCACCGCTTCCACCCGGGCAGGGACTCCCCCCTGGGGCTGGAGCGCGTGGGGCGAGGCCCTGACTTGTGCAATGCAGGCTGGGGAACAAGGCTGCAGTGCGGAGCCAGCGCTCTTAGCCCCAGCCCAGGCAGGAGATCCGCTGGCACCGACTGCCAGGAGAAAGTGGGCAGAGGCCCTGCCCTTGCTCCTGGAGAGGCCCCCAGCCCTGCACACAGCAAGGGCCGCCCCACCCGGGGGGAAGGCCTGCGCTTGCCCCTGCAGCCCTAATGGGAACAAGCTGCTCCGAGGGGCTGCCTGGGTCCCCTCCTCCCTCCCGGCCGCCGCAGGGCAGGAAACGCTCCCGGGGGCATTTCCTGAGCACCAGCCGCCGGAGGCTGCACAGACCAGCACCAGCTTCGCTTGAACCGAACGCAGGCGAGGCCCCAGGAGACAAAGCGACTCCAGCGTGGGACCCGGGGGCGGCCCCTGGCAGGCCAAGGATGGCACCCACAGGCCAGGGGGCAGCGCTGTGCACTCACCAGCAGGGGAGGGCTGATCTGGGCCCAGCCCCTTCCCTGGCTCCAATGGGGCATTGCCCGCAGCCACCTGGGCCCCTGCTGGTGTCAGGCTGGGAGCCGGCCCGGAGCTGGGGCAACAGGAGGGGGACAGAGCCCAGAGCTGGGCCCACAGCAGCTCTAGCAGCCTGCAGAGAGCCGGGGGCTCAGGCCAGTTCCTATGGGCCCCGGGGCCCTGGCACTGCTTGTGTGGTACCTGTGCCAGGCCAGAGGAGTCAGGCTCTTGGACAGTGAGCGCAGCCCAGGGCAGGGTCCCTCCCCCAGGAAAGAGACCAAGGACACCCCGCTTTTGGGTAGGACTTTATTTCCCTCCAGGCAGCACGTAGTAGCCAGACAGCCCCAGCCCTGCAGAGAGCTACCTTTCGCCACCCCCACTCCTGAGTGCCACAGCCGGCCCAGGCCCAAGCTCAGGGCACAGGAAGAGACGCCGCCCGCATGCGCTGGCCTCCTAGATGCCCAGCTGCAGAAGGTGCAGCTGTTCCCCACTACAGCAAGACCCAGCCGCACCCAGAGTCCTGTGCACGCAGAGCTGGAGGGGAAGCAGCTTCCAGCGTGTCCAAGGGGCTGCACCGAGCAGGCAGCAGATGCCGGCACAAGGCCCAAGCGGAGGAGAGCCGCCCGCACCAACCCAGGAGCCTGGTGGCAGGGCACTGGCCCTGAATTCAGCAGGACTAGAAGGGGCTGCTCTGGGGAAGACTCCAGGGGCCTGGTCCCTATCGCCACGGGAGACGCTCCACCAGGGCTCCCCTTTGAGGTCAGGTGATGCCTTAGGGCAAGGGCTGGGTTTGGGGGGGGCTCTTAGCAGAGGCAGTGGAGCGGTCTGTGATCACTGCGTGGAGGGGCTGTGTTCCCATGGGAAACAGGGCAGCTGCTTTTCCCGGCTTCCTGCCCCACATCCAGCACCCCAGGAATTAAGGAGAGGGGCTGAGAAAGGCTGGCCTGGCCCCCCAGCTGAGCCCTGCCTGGAGGACGGGGGGGGGAGTCACTCACAGGGGCAGGTGCCAGGCCTTGCAGGGCAGGGGGTTCTCCCACATAGCGTGGCCAGCGCAGGGAGCGCAGCTGCAGGGCCCATGGGTGGCTAACGAGGACAGGGCTGAGTCCCCATGGGGGGAAATGAGCGTTACCCAGACATTACTTGAGGCTACAACCCTCCCTACCCCCCTGGGCACCCCAGGGAGCTGACCTGGTGCTTTAGCACCGGGGGGGAGGGGGAAGAGGTGAGGGCAGTTCCGGCCCAGG